TAGTTTGCTAAATAAATGACATTTAGCAAATAAATGGAGTTTTTCACTGTAATCACCTGTCATCATATAGCATTAAGAAGGGCTTGCGAAATACAATAGAATTAGAATCAGAAGACCTAGTCTTGCCATTAACAAGCTGTTTGACCTTGGAAAGTCACTTGTTTCTGAGCCTCAATTTTTTTACCTGTAAAATAGGAATAGTAATAGCCTCTACTTACCCATTTTACAAACCACATAATTGTTGTGGACCTTAGTGGGGTCTCATATAGCTTTTTGTTAATAGGGTATGTTTCTGTCTTTACTGTTACCTCTTGAAGAGCATGGACCTTGTCTTATTTATCTATTACAGGACTTGGCACAGGGTCTGAATCTATAAATAATTGCCAAAAGAATGGAGAGCAAAGAAGGTTAAAAATTTCCTTTGCGAAATGAACTGAGCTTCAAATATTCATGCTCCAAATTATTTTTAAATAGTCACTCTAAGTGTCATTTCATTTTATATAGCAGACATAACAATTAGCAAAGTGTCTAAGCAGCTAGAAATATTCCCATTTAGTCTGGTTTTTGTTCAGGATAATGAATATGAATGCTTGTTTTGATTAAATGAATGGTTCTCCTGGATGAGCGCTGAACAAACGCTTGTGCTATTCTGATGCTTCTGGCCCAGGCAAAAGACTCGTGCTTCTATTGACAGAGCACCAACCCTTGAATGACCCCTCAACACAATGCAGAAAAGAAGTGCTGTGTAACTTAGCCGCCTGAGCCAAACCTCCACTGCTTCGAGTCAGCTAACGTGTGACAGGACACGCAAACACAAAACTGTCAAGCCAGAACCAGATGTCTGAAAAATCTGTACAAACAGTTTCACATATAACTACTATCTTTTCAAAGAACCAGATTATTATGAGAAGAAATAAAATTTATAGTAACAGGTAGTTAAAACAATTATTTAGTATGAATCCAGGTTCTTTTCCTATATCCATTAGACTGGGGAAAAAAGGCTAAGTCCAGACTCCAAAAGCCTTCTTTAAAGGCTTGTAAACAGATGTTAAATCTGGGCAGGCGACGGGGAACGGCTCGTCTTGTGCCAGCATAAGCACTTTGGGTATATTAACTATTAATCCTTACAAACAATACTTTGAGGATTATATTATCATCCCCATATCACAGATAGAAAACTAATTTATCTAGATAAAAGGATCATACCCAAGGTCACACACTGGGATTTGAATCTAAGCTACCTGAATCTGTGCTCTCTTATGCCATATTACCAGTCTGGGTCATGAATTTTAACTGTTTAAATGCACACTGAAGAATGTACACTCTAGAGCAAGAGAAATTTAACAATAAGCATCTACATTTTGGAAATTATGGTCACATAATTTCCATAGCTTGATTTACAAACAGCTGGGCTAACATGTGGTTCAGCAAATCAATTTTTTAGACCAGGCTATGGAGGGAAAGGGTATTATGAAGTCAGCAGTAACAAAGCAATTATACAATTTGGTGAGAGGTTTAGATGTGGGAGGAGGTTATTAAAGGTCCGAATCATTCAAAAGTTTGGGAATGAGAGACTTGCACAACTGCAAGAGAACTGCCCCTCAAGCAAATACCTACCCGATTAGAAAGGGCACATTGATAGGCAAGACATTTGTTAGAGTTAGTGCCAAGTTCCATTTATTTTGTAGCATAATATAATTGGTCTGGGAACCTTGGAAAAATTCAAAACATAATATAGTGGAAAGAGTATGACATTTAGTCAGGCAAAACTCACTTCAAATTCTAGCCCTGCCACCTATTAGTCAGTCATTTAATCTTTGAGCCTCTTTGTTCATCTATAAAATGAGAGTATGATTATCAATTCTAAAGTGTTGCTGTGAAAATTAAATGAAACCATATATGGCAGAAGAGGTCTCCAAATCAGTTAATCATGAAAAGCCAGAACTGACCATCATCAAGATGTAAAACCGGTTAATCAGTTGTTGTTGGGAGAAGGGGGTGGATATTAAGAATCCAAACACATATGATTCTTTATCTGAAAAACTTCTTAGGAATGATTACTACCCTATGTTTTCCCAGGAGGGAAACAGAAAGACTCGCACAAAAGAATTATTTGTTCAACTTTGATGGTAGGTAAATCCCTTTAGTTCTCACTTTGTTTCAAAGACCAGGGAAAGACTTAAACTTCTTCATTATGGATTATCTATCATGCTTTCTTTCAGGGAATCTTTGAGATCCAAGAATGTCTGTTCTTTACGAGTAAACACAAAATAATTAGAGAAATTTGAAAATGGATGGGATGTTAAATTATATTAGATAACAATATTACGGTTTTGTAAGAAAAGACTATTTCTAGGAGATGCACTGATGTATTTAGTGGTGAAGTTCAATAATGTTTGTAACTTCACACAGTTCAAAAATTATATACATATAAATAAATAAAAATAATATATAAATAAAGCAAATATGGCAAAATGTTAATTCTTGAACTTAGATGGTAGGTATACAGGTAATATTTAAAACTGTTCATAATAAAACATTGGAGGAAAAAAAAAACAAGAATTTTCATTTAGGGACTGCCTCATGTGAAATTTCCCATCTTTTCCCTTTTCCATTCATTGTACAGATGGTTGAGGTGGGGGTAGTAGTGTAGAAAACAACTGATGGAGGAATATATTCAGCTATAAGTCAACTAACTAAAAGACAAGTTCTACACAACTTTTGAAATAACGCTGTCACTTACAAAGTCAGTCAGCCAGATGGTGAGAAGTCAGTAACTAAAATCTGTGGTTTTAAGAAAGATTCTTTTGTATGGGGGTAGGAGGGAGTATTAGCCTTTCCAATGGACCTAATCCAGGGAATTTATCTAGGGATATTTAGGGACCACATTTTGAAGACATTAAAGCAACTACGGAAGAAAAACAGTTATGTAGTCCCCTCTAGAACACAGATAATCTTGAGAACCATCCCTCGAAAGCTAATAATTAGTGCTTATCTGTGCATGGGTATATGATCTTAAGGGATGGTATAACAACAAGAGGAATTATGTAGGAAATAAGCCAAAAAATTGCTATATAATTTTAAGGTGTTATTAAAGGACAAATAAAGAAATCAAAAGGATTGCAAGTGAAAAGAAAACAAAAAGAGATTTTATAAAACCAGAAAACAAAACTAACTGAAAAAAAATAAAACCTCCAAGAGAACAAAAAAACTCATTTCTTGAGTTAATTTACTAAATGTTTTGCAGCATATAACGTGCAAAATACTGTCTGTGTCTTTTAAGAAATGTCTGCAGTCCTTTGGTAGAGAATTTCTTGCAGGGCAAGATCTGGATTTGAAGGTCCCTCCAAAGATCCCAGCAGAACTCCACTGACTTTTAAGAATGTTAAAGGAATGATCTAAAACATGAAAAATGTTTAAAGTCTTATTTAGAATATTAAAAATTAGAAGCAATCTTAAAGGTCTAACAGTGGAAGAATGATGCATTTATAACGTGAACATCCATGTGATGGAATATTATTCTGCAATTTCAGCATAAGTATGAAGAATAAGCCACAACAAAGAAAGAACGTTAAAGTAAAGAAATTAAGGGATTTATAAGTAAATACACTTACGACTATTAAAAAAATAGTCAGGAACACCAAAAAGACAATTATATTGGGATGTTGGAATTCTATTTGTTTCCCACTCCCCTCCCTGCCAGCTCTATCAAAATTTTTTAAAAATCATAACTATAAAAGAATGAAAAAGGAAGGTAAGAATGCCATGGCTGGAAGGCCACTCATTAAGTCATATACAAAGAGTCCTCAAGATAAGACCTAATGTGAGATATGAGACTAGATATTATAAGAAAGGTCACTGTCCTCAACAATTAATTGTCTCTGCTATTTTCACCCAAACAGCAATCCATGAAAAACCACCCATTCTTCCCTTCTTTCTAATGGCAGGTCCCAAAAGGTATCCATCAAAGAAGTACTGCCAGTAACAGCATTATTAATTATGACCAGCCTACAGACATCTTATTCTCAAAGGCTTTTTTAGGCCTGAATTGACATGAAATATACTACTTCTCTGGAGCACTTTTTTTTTTCCTTTGGTGAAAGAACAATGTTGTTTAATTACTCATCTTTTAAAACCACAATCATAAAATCCAACTCATATATTGCTACTGCATTTTAGAGGGTTAGGGGGTACCCAATCCAGATGCGCTATGTTAAAAAAAATTTTTTTAGGTTGCTTGTTTGAAACTCAGAGAGCATTTTTCCCCAGAAATATTTTTTTTTCTTTTTTTCCCCAAAGCCCCAGTAGATAGTTGTACGTCATAGTTGCACATCCTTCTAGTTGCTGTACGTGGGACGCGGCCTCAGCACCGCTGGAGAAGCAGTGCGTCGGTGCGTGCCCGGGATCCGAACCTGGGCCGCCAGTAGTGGAGCTTGCACATTTAACCGCTAAGCTACGGGGCCGGCCCTCCCAGAAATATAGTAATAAAGGAAATGGATCTGTCCACCAAAGCAGATAAATCTCCATAATCTCTCCCTCAATTTCCTGGTCTAGAAGACTAATGGCTACCTAGGATGCTTCTTATGCTTTCCAGGAGCCTCCTATGCAGGTCTCCATTTCTATCATGGAATTTTCATAAGTGAGGTATTTTTAAGCTTGCAAATGCCTACTAACAATTTAATTTTTTATCATCTAAAATCTACTAATATTCATTTTCACAACACAGGTAACACTTGATTAACTTAAATTCTAGATGAAAAGTATTTTTTAGCAATCAGAAAATTAAAAACCAAGGGGTGTAAGAGAGCACTAAAATGTCCTAAAAGTTTGTGGACTTAAAACATCAACAGCAAGATGCTATTTTAAAATATGTAATAACTCAAGTTTAAAGATGGATGAATTTAAATTTAATCCTTTTTGTATAAAACCAAATAGTACTCTAATACTACTGGGACTAAGTGCTGAAAAACTAAGTTATAAAACAAATACATGAAACATGATTACAATTTAAATTCTTTGGATTCTTTATCTTCTAAACCCCTACTTTTAATGCAGAATTAACTTTCCCAATCTAAGCACAGCAGTATTCTTTAACACACATAAAGTGTACTGTAACAGCAGTACTTTAGGAACACTTTGTGAGTTTTCAACAGCTATCAGGAAAGCTTTAGAAAGAAAAAGTAGAGGTTAAAAGATAAGACAACTTCACACAGTAGCAGAGTATAAGTGGAACAAAAACTGGCTTAGACCTTATGACTCGGACTATATTCCTCTATTTTTCTACAAAAACCTTTTAGCATCTGATAGTTTCATCAGCCTTTCCATTTTTAAATCAGTAACCTTTACTTTCCATCATGTCCAAGATAAATGAGCCCTAAGATTTCCTAAAGCATGGACCTCAATCATTGAGTCCCTTTTATAAATAAGGCAAACATTCGTTTTAATTTGTTGGAACAGGGTTTTATGCTCCGAACTGAACTTGCACTAGAGTGCTTAGGATGTTGAAAAATATTTTCCAAAGCTCTCTCTTCTGGCCCGTTCAGAACAACCAGAATGTAATTGATAGAAGCAGCAGCAGAACTGGAGCATATATTAGTCATATTTGATTCTCTCTGTCAGAGGTTCCTCCTTGTAATGGGAAATAATTTGAATTAGGATGGAACAGTTGATAAGAAGGAAGAACAAACCAGCTAACCAGATAAACAGAAAGGTGTTCTTTCCTTGAAACTCAAGAACATACGCAGGAGCCAGCCATAAGGCCTGCCCTATAAACCACAACACTAGGAGAACTACAGCTCTTTTCCAAGACATTCTCACTAGTGGCATCACAAGGGGCAATAGGCAGAGGTACCAAAGAAAGTACTGGGAGGTGCAGACTTTGTTAAAAGTCACAAAAATGGACGTATGAAGAAAACAACAAAAGACAAGGTCTCTGTAATAGGCAAAAGACACTGCTGAAAGCAAGATAAACTGTGGTAGGAACGCAGCAATTCCCAGCGAAAAACTCCACTTGCTCTCTGCGGTCAAATACAGCATGTAGAAGTATGGAGAAAAGTTGTGACGGATATCCCGCCTAGTCAGGTGATACAGGTAGGTGTGCTCCAAAAATTCCCAACCATATTTATAATAAAAACCGAAGCTCAGGGCAAAAAAGGTGAGTCCAGCAACTGCTACGAAGAGCAGCACAGCCCGATTACACAGCCTCTTCAGGAATTCGTACAAACGAGCCTGGAAAGAATATCGAGATTGGCGGAGGCCCTCGTCATTGTCGCGTTCTGGAAGCAAGTGGAGGGCTATGGGAAGAATATAGGTCACCGGATACATCTTCATATGCACGGCGAAACCATAGAACACAGCAGCACAGGCGACGAGTCTTTTTTCTATGAGGTACAGGGCCGTAAGCACCAGGGAGGCGACGATCGAGTCCGCATTGCCCCGGCTGGATACCGCCATGGGTAGGGGGTTGAGAAGCCAAAAGACACAGTAGCCGCAAGCCTGGCGACGACCCAGCCCCTTGAGAAGCAGCAGGCGGTATAAGAGGAAAGCGGTGAGGAGGTCGCAGCTGATGAAGAGAAACTTTCCAAAGAGTTCGTTGAGATAGATGTTGGGAGTGAGGAGCCAACCCAGCAGCGGAGTGTAACGGTACGTCGCCCTCAGGTAAGGGGAGCGCCCTTCCGTGACGTAGCGCGCGGCGTCCGTGAAGACCTGGTAGTCGATGTCCGTATACCGCACGAGCAGGGTCCGGTCCTGGAAGACCCCATAGAAAACCAGGGCGACTCGGGCAAGAAAGGCCACCCCAAACACCCCGACGGGGGGCACCCGCAGGTTCAGGAACCATTCTCCCCAATGCTTGGTCGGGCCCATGATCTGCCCGCTCGACAGCCGCTCAGCCCCAGCTACAAACAGCCTTCGAATCTCTAATCTTCTCTTCGGTTCCTCGCCTCAGGTGGCCGGCGCATCTCCCACCAGCTAAGCTGCCAACCGAAACGACGGGGGAATGATCACTTCCGGCATGGAGCCCCGCCCCCGTCCTGCTTCCGGTCGCAGGTCCCGCACCAGGCTCTCAGTCGCCCCGGCTAGAGAATTGCCTTCTTCTGGATTGGCTGGCTCGCTTCCGCTTCTTCCTCCGGCGGGGGCGGGATTTCCGGTCTTTGGGTAAGGCGACTTCCGCTTGCCGGGAAGACTTACACTGGCCTGCGTTTTTACGGCGCGGAGTGTGTTTTCTTTGGGAATGGCCCCGTCTTTCCCCCACCCAAACCCCGGTCGGCAGAGACGGACCCCTGAAACGAAGCGAGCTTCAAGCTACATCCTTCCGGCCTGGGCCGGAGACCCGAGAGTGAAAAATGTAACGGTGAAGGGAAAAGAAACCTGAGATAGTTTCTCAGGCTTTCCTCCGCCGGCTCGCCGGTCATCCTGAGGTGGGGCGCGTTGTGGGCCCCGGAGCCGGGCTGAGTTGAAGGGGGCCCAGAGTGTGTATGTCCCATGCAATATTTGGGACATACTTATATTTTGAAATTGTTAGTGGTTTATCTAAATTCGAATTTAACTGGGCAGCCACTGTTTTATCCGCAGCCCTAGGTGGAGGGGCGGAAGGGGAGGACACGGAAGCCTCATAGAGTTCCTGAACTGTGTCATGCTTCCTTGCCTCAGTGCCATTGGCCTCAGTGCCATTGTATTTGCTATTCTTTCTGTCAAGGTTGCTTTCCCCTCTGCAGTCACTACTTAACCCTTTAGGCCTTGGGCTCGAGTGTTAACTCCTAAAAGCGTACCCTGGCACTTAGCTCACTTTTTCATCACCCAATATGACTGAAATGCCGGTTCTCTCCGCTGACTGAGGGTAAACGAACTTGGGCGGAGGAGCTCCAAGCTCCAGAAAATCATTCACACAGAAGACCTGCTTCAAAAAGTCCTGTCCAGTGCCTGCCATCCTAGTGCTGCAAAACTCCCTTTTGGAATGACCATTCCTTTATTATAGCATTTGTCATAACTGATTTGTAATAACTGATGTTTTGTTTGTTTCTTTTTCGTAGTGTTCCATCAGGACACTTTGAGGTCTTTGAGAACAGATTATCTTGTTCTTTTCTGTACCTCAGCCTCTAACACATTACCAGACTTACAGTAGGCGTTCAATTAAGGTTGAGTTGACTTTGGATGTTCCTCTTACCAGAATACCTCTAGAGTGGCATCCTTGGAGTGCTCCCAACTCCCGGCCCTCTTCTCTCTCAAATATCCTTTACCTGTCTCAAGTTCCACCCCTGTTCACCCACCCTACTCCAACCCTGCTTCAATGAATTTCTCACCAAGGACTCCAGCCCATTAGCTCTTTCCCTCTGTGGGTGCTTACTGCAGTTATAGTCTGCATTGCAGAATTTCATAATTTATTTTAGATTGTATTCATAACCGTTTCAATGAGATTATAGGATTTTTGAGGTCAGGAATTTTATCCTTAATTTTTTTCAATTACTCGTAATTTATTGCAGTCTTAAGTACATGGTAAATGTTCAGTAAATACTGACTTACTTGATTTTACAGACTGATCCTGCTTCCTAGAAGTGGAAGTCTTCTAGGCTAATGTAACGAGAGGAGATGATTCCGTCCATTCTGAACATGCAGCTCCCAGGACTACCTCCACTCATCCATCACACAATTTACATTTATCCTTTGGGTGAACCATGTTAACTTTATACATTCCATATTCATATTCTGATATCTCTCTGTCCTTTTATGTGCCTTGGTGTAATTATATGCCTTATATTGATATAATTACTTTTAACCATTTTCTTTTTGCAGTACGTAGCTATGTGTACAGTGGCAGCACATCATTATGCAAATGATGATGATGATGATTTCTAATAGCAGCTTTGTTGAGGACTTATTTGCAGTGTGTCAGGCATTGTGCTAAATATTTGTCATGTAAGGTAGATATTCCACCTTCAAAAATGAAGAAATCAAGGCTTATGGAGATTTTAAGTGATTTTCCTAACTCACATAGTCAACTAATGGTAGAGCTGGAACTTAAAAGTAGATCTGTCTGACCCAGAATATGCTTAACTGCTATGTGGCTAACCTGCAAGTACAATATTGATGATGAATTCTAATTCCCATCTCTGCCTTCTCTTGTTGATCTCTCGTCTGAATCTTTCTGATATTCTCTCTCACTGTGACTTCCCTACTGTCACAAGGCTCTGAGTGTTGGTTTATTAACCCTGCCCACACCTTTGTAAAGAATTCCTTCATTGTGTCTTGTCTAGTTAGCCCTTTGAGTGTGCCATCTATTTTCTGCTGGAACCCTGGCTAATTTCAATCACTTTCTTTTTTTTTGTAGATCTTGCTTATATTTCCTGCTTTGTAATTTCTTTTGGATCTATTCCTAATTCTTTTCATACTCAGCATCTTGCACCTTAGTCCAGACCTTCAACAACTCAATAATATATAATTGAACAACTATACTATACTAGGATCTGTGGCAATTACTTTTCCTGCAAGCCTTTGCAAGTCTCTTAACTGGTTTAGTGTCTCCTGTCTCTCAATTCTACTGCCAGATCGATATTCATAAACAAATTTAATTAGCTTCTTTACTTCCTTAAACCTCTTCAGTAGCTCCCAACTGCCTATAGAAAAAAACAATAAACTATTTAGCCTGACGTTCAATCCCTCCATTACCCTGCCTTTTCAACCTATTCACCTAGAAAGCCATCTATTCTAGGTTTATCGACCATCCTTTAAATATGCCTTGTGTTTTCTTCCTATGATACTTTTGCTCATGGTATACCACCTACAAAGAATCCTATTTCTCTTCACTTGTTTAAATACGATTTATCCTTCAGTGCTGGGCTCAAACTTCAACTCTTCTGTAAACTCTTTCTAGACCTTGACTAGTGGAAGTGATCTCTTTCCCCAAAACAGTGGTGTTTATTGTGTGTTCTTTTTTTTTTAACAGTTAATTATGTCATGCCTTATGAAACATGTTATCTAAATCTTTTATGGTTAATATACCAGCTCCACTGCATACTAGCTGTGTGAACTTGAGGCAAGTTCCTTCCCTCCCTCTTTTCTTCCCTTCCTTCCTTCTACATTTATTGAGCATCTTACATGCTGGGTGCTGTGCTAAGTGCTGAGCTGTACTGGTGACCAAACATTGACACGAATTCCATTCACACAGCACTTAAAGTCTAGTGAGCGAAACAGACATTAGTCAAATAAATTCACAAATGATGTAAAATTGCAGCTGTGGTAAGTGCTATGAAGGAGAGGTACATGGTGCAATCATAGCTTGTAACACGAGGGTTTGGTCTAAGATGGGTGTAGTAAGAGTTACGAGGGGGTTGGCAGGCAGTAGGGAGAGTTCCACAGAAGGAGTAGCAGGTACAAAGCCCAGAAGACTGTGTGTCCCTCGATAGCGTGTATCATGTCTTCTGTTTCTTTGTTACTTGAACGGCATATCATAGGAACTCATTAAGCATTTGCTGATTTTTCTTGAATTGTGTGTGAAATGTGTTCTAACCAGACCTCTTAGATTGATACCATCCCTTGCCTAGTGCCTGTCCCTGTGAAATGATTTCCACAGAGGTCTCACTGTTTAGAACACGTTGTTAATGGGATATCTGGCCCTTCGTATGTGCTACTTGTTATTTTATCATGTTTTCTTTACATGTTTGTAAGTTTCTTCAAACTTTAAGGGACTGTATATTTCCTATATCTTATTTATCTCATATATCTTATGACTCATCCCTAGTGTTTCCTAAATGTGGTAGATAAGTATTTATTGATGATGGTAAGAATCTGAGTTTTCTCCCTCTTCCTCCCTCTGTACTTCCATTTCTTGGGAACAAGAATCAGTGACTGTGGGATCTGTTGCTTCTCATCAGAGAGAATTCAGGGCTAGATATTGACAACCAGGCCTTTTTCAGGCTAATGATAGATAAGAGTAGAAGAGAAATCCATTTCTTTGAGAGTTGGGGGAAGAAATGCCCAACGATTAAATGAATGGGCTTATAGAGCCTTGAGGGTATATAAGGAACGTCTAAACGGTAGCATGGAAGGGAAATTGGGCTCATGAGCACTGGCCAAAAGAGACCCAATGCCCAGGATCTAAAGCAACTTGACTTACCTGAATTAAGCTGAACCAATTTTCAGATTCTGGGTCTTAACCTTTTTTTAAATCTTGTCCTTTAAAACTGAATTTGAAAGGTATTTGCTGAAGAATCCTAAAGTTAACAAGGGGAGGTGTGGGAAGGGAGTAGATGGAATAGATGATAGCAATGAAGGGGAGAGACCTGGCCACATGGTCAGAAATTCTTCCAGCACCGCCTCATTCAACCCTCCCCATTGGTAGGCCTATGAGTTCAGGCCTTAATAATAGGATTGATTTGGCTTTCTAAAGGAAGCTAGAGTGAAGAACAGAGATCTATCCATTTTATTTAGTAGCTTGCTCTGAACAGACAAAAATAAAATAAACCAAAAAAATCTCACACATCTTTTTCCTAGGTGAATTTGACCTGGTTTAGTGTTTAATGCTGTGAATGGAAAAGCCATCCCTAGATACTTCTGCTTCAGTAGAGTTGGCCATTACTGAGCCTGGAGGCCCATGCTAACTGTACAGCAAAGGTAGTGTGTTATTTTACAAATAATCTAGGTTAACTAGCAGGAGTAAAGGACCAGGGGAGCAGCCTTGGGGAGGGGCAGTGTCCCCGGCTTGTAGCAGTAGTATAACTGGCTTTCTTTCTCTGCTCAGGCCTCATAAGGAAATCCTTGGATGGTCGTCTTAGCTGACAAAGGTCAGGGGGATATTGAAGTGAAGCACAGAGAAGGGATTTCAGAAGCCTCTCCTGTAACTGCATCATCCCCCAGGGCAGGTGGTAGCCCCACTCCTCATTTTCATACAGAAGCAACAAAGCCAAAGCACCACCCCTCCCCATGCCCACATGCCAGGATTGGGACTTGTAGCATAGAGAGCATTCTCTTTGGGCTGCTTGCAGCCATACAGAGGGCTGGGCCTCTGCCTTGGGAGTATCTTGGGCCCAGTAGCTCTTTCATCCTGGCCTTTGGATTCTAGG